CCGAAATACAATTGGGTAAACTGGCAGTGAGCGGGTTTCACAAACCAAAACAGAGACCGACATTCCGGCCCGGAACGCACATTTTCAAAGGAGAATAACTGACTGTAGCATTGTTTTTCAGATAAACAAGTATGTTAACTTAGCATGTTTCTTAAATATCTGCAAACATATATGGTATTTTTATGCTTTAGTAGAGTCAAAAACTTACATACAGCACCTTTAAGTAAAGATCATGTTCCATAAAGATATTCTGTAAATTTCCTACTGTAAATATATTAAAACTTATTTTTTGTTTAGTAATATGCATTGCTAAGAACTTCATTTGGACAACTTTAAAGGCGATTTTCTCAATATTTAGATTTTTTTGCACCCTCAGATTCCAGATTTTCAAATAGTGGTATCTCAGCCAAATATTGTCCTATCCTAACAAACCATACATAATAAATAAAGCTTATTTATTCAGCTTTGAGATGGTGTATAAATCTCAATTTCAAAAAATTGACCCTTATGACTGGTTTTGTGGTTCAGGGTCATATATCTGTGACACATGCACACAAACACCCACACTCCGATGTCCAGGCACTTACGCTTTGCGTAGGCCGGCCGCCAGCACCATGGCACTGTGGTGGTTGAAGCGTTTGATTATGGCAGAGTTGCTGTTCTCTCTCAGTGATTTGTTGGATGAGTTTGATGTAGTGGGAACTGCTGCTGTGCCGTAACCCTTCAGAGACACACAGAGATCCAATTTCACCAAATGATGCAATACGCAGAGGAAGTGTGATTCAAAGTTTAACATCCCTCACCTCATCTAATGTTTTATCCTCGAGAGAAAGCAGATCCACCATGGGATTCTTCACTCCCTGGGTCACCATTGATATCAGGCCTGAAAGATGCGAAGAAACAAACTCCATCAGAATAGAAAGACACAGAAGAGCTATTTAACACGGTCAGATGAAGTCAATAGTCCATGAAAGATTCCTTCGGACTTCATAAGATCTCAGAATGCTGCATTAAGACTTAAACACTTCAAGAAATGCAGTACCCTTCTCGTCCTGTTTGGCACACTCTGAGAAGATGTCTTGCTGGCCCGTGCTGATCCGGTCTCTGTGGAAGTAATGAGACTGAAAGAACCGCGTCCAGAACTCCTTCTCAGTCATGTTGTGAGGAACATTCTCAGCGTATTTCTGCTTGACTGCAATCAAAAGCAGAGAGAGACAGAAAAGGGTCATATTCAATACTTATAGCATTTTATTTGTCCTTAAAGATTGCTTATAATATTAGTCAGTGTTTGTAGCACAAAGCATATTAGGTTTTTTGTGAACTAAAACAATTTTTTGTGATTTAAAATAGGCTACTACACCTTTAAGACTACTATATGTAAATGACCTTTGTTATGATTGATTTGACCACCTTTTGGTCAAATTCTAACAGCATTACATGTATTCGTCAAGGAGAAGGCAATACCAGAATTATAACCATAATTATGACGTACAAATAGGGTTGCAAAGGGGTGGAAAATTTTCTGTAAATTTCCGGAAACTTAAAAAAAAAAATCTCATGGAAAGTTTCCAAAATTTCTGGAATATTTCCAAAATTTACTGGAAATTTTCCACCTTTTTGCAACCCTACGTACAAAGTCATAGTTATTACATAAAAGTCACATTCATTTATAAAGTACCATAGAAATTATGAGATACTAACTCATAATTATGAGATAAAAAATCAAAATGATGGCATAAAAGTTTAAATTATGAGATTTTTAAAAAATCACAATTATCATTATGACACAAAAGTCGAAATTATGAAATAAAACCAATTAAGAGCTAAAAAAATTTTACTGAAAGATTAAATGTCAAAATTATGGGTTAAAAATCATTACGGCATAAAATGAAATTATAAGATAAAGTCGTAATTATGAGATAAAAATCATAATTAAAACAAAAGTTGAAATTATAAAATAAATTTTGCGATTAAGGTTGAAATTGAGATAAAAAGTCAAAATACGGACATAAAAACAATTATGAGAAAAAAGTCAAATTTAAGAATTATAAAGTCAAAATTATGAGAAAAAGTCATCATTATGAGATAGAAAGTAAGTAATTATGTCAAAGTTAAGAAAAAATATGCATATGCACAATATGCACAAAACCTATATAATGGTTATGTCATATTTATGAATTTATCTCATAGTTATGATTTACAGACAAAACCTATATAATGGTTATGTCATATTTATGAATTTATCTCATAGTTATGATTTACCTAAGCATGACTGTTTTTTTATGTATTAGAAATGGTCTTCCATACAGGACGCAATGTGACAAGCTCAATGATGAAACTTCATCAAAGATGGTTGATTAAGGGTGACTAGTCATTCATTTAATACAGAAAGGTATCAATAACAAGCATTATGTATTTTTATGTTTATTACAGTATCACACTCTTATCTTAGTGGCAAAACATATCATGAACAATCGCGAGTCCAGTACTTTATAAGTGAGTTGCTGCCTATGTAGATTCTTCTAAATCAGTCACTTATGACGATCCCTATCAATTAGGATGTCATCTTAGAAGGAAGCTGCCTAAGATCATAAGCTGTGAGATCATAATCACATATCTTACCTGTAGGGTAGGTCCTGAAGATCGACTCGATGATGTCAGAGGTCAGATTGTAGCGCAGGCCGTTGCAGCCATCTGTCTGCGGTCTGATGTCGGCCTGTAACCACAGTGACAACACAATCATGGTGTGAATTTACACTGTAAGTGCTCTCGTCAAACTGTCAGTCACATGATGCATTTGAACTCACCAGGAAGGCAGCAGAAATGCCCACTTCCTGTTTGTTGTTGTTGGAGAGGGAGTGTTCCACAGTATTCAGGCTCAGCCGATTGGCCCAGAACTCCTCAGCGCTGATCACCTGACTCACCACTAAGTCCTTATAGAGCTGGAAGAGAACGGGGTCTTCCTGCAACATCCTGGAACACAAAACATCAGCTCGAGGTCAGCTAATACAATACAGAGAGAGTAAGGTGTCCAGTTTGCCAAAATTATAGTCAAATATGTCAGGATTTAATGATGGCAAATGAAATGTAATGAAAACGTCACCTGTTCTTCTCCTCCAGCTCTTTATTGGCTTTCTTCTTGAACTTGGGCAGGAGCTGCTGTAGGAGTTCTTTGGTGGCGTCTCTGTCCTTCAGTGCTGTGCTCCCATTAGCGAAATGAAAGGTGGTGCTTTCTCCCGTGTGCAGAAGCAGCTGAAGCTGGATCTTTGCCTTCCCATCAGGACTGATCTTCTGACCTGCATATGAGAATAATGACAGAAGATCGCATTACAAATTTGATTCAAAGCAGAAGAATGTTTTATGTTTGATTTGAACACACACATACATATATACTGTATGTATGAATTAAATACCCTTTTTATATTGTAATGTAATTTATTCCTGTGATGCAAAGCTGAATTTTCAGCACTGTGCTGCTTTATATTTCTGCGGAAACCATGATACATTTTTTTCAGGATTATTTGGTGAATAAAGAGTTCAAAAGAAAAGCATTTATTTTAATCAGAAATTTATATTATATCTTTACTGTTACTTTTGATCAATTTAATGCACATTTGCTAAATAAAAGTATTAATAGAAGTGCTACATAGACAGACAGACAGACAGATAGACAGACAGATAGATAAGAGAGTCAGATGATAGATAGATGGATAGATAGATAGATAGATAGATAGATAGATAGATAGATAGATAGATAGATAGATAGAAAGATAGAACACTAGACAGATAGATAGATAGATAGAACACTAGACAGATAGATAGATAGATGGAACGGCAGAGAGACAGATAGACAGATAGATAGATAGACAGACAGACAGACAGACAGACAGACAGACAGATAGATAGATAGAAATAGTCAGATGATAGATAGATAGATAGATAAGATAGATAGATAGATAGATAGTCAGTTGATAGATAGATAGATAGTCAGATGATAGATATAGTCAGATGATAGATAGATAGATAGATAGATAGATAGA